CAAGTGCCATAAAATAAAATACCTGCATTTGATGAAATAATATTTTAATTCATACCAATATTTAAACATCAAGGTAAGCCCCTTGTAAATCTGTAACAGATTACCAGATAAATAGAAACCTGAGTAATACTATTGTTCCTATTGTTCGAAGGTTCGCACCGTACTTGGAACAAAGAGACTTGATTTTTCTATCTTATTTTAATAATTTTACTTGTAAAATTACGAAATAAAATAGAAATGCTAGAAAATGTAGAGACGAGATGAATATGATATGAAAATTATGGAAAATAAACGATATTAATCAATATACTTAGAGCATACTGAAAGTTTCTGGACTCTGAGTCTGAGTTCAAACATATTTACCTCAAACTCAAGCGTTTAAGAAATTGACTCACAGGAAACTTAATAAATATTTTTTCTATGATTTATCATTACACCACCATGTGTTGTATAAGTCTTATAAGAGATCGGATATTTTTGAAGATTTTAATTGACTAAGTACGTAATGTCAGATTTGCCAACCTGATAACCAACTAGGGATGCGTGATGGCATTATTATATTATGAAACGTTTTATCGATAATCGATTTTTATAGCTTTGGCTGAAATATTTACCGAAGGTTCACTCGCACGGTAAAGTGACTAAATCAACATAATTTGCAATAATTTAGACTAAACTAAATTAATAGAATAAAGTTACGTTATTTTAACAATGTTTGCAGTATAAAATATACAGCACAGTGTGATGAGAGAAAAACACTGTTTTTGAAAACGGCTCATAAATAGACATACATCGATATTTTCAAAATGTCGATACGTCACCGTCTGGATCCTATCGAATGCCGCACTTACCAGTCTTGTCGTTTGACACGCACATGCATGACTTCATGACCATTGCTTACTCTCCCACATTAGGAATATATCATGTGTCGCGGGGACTTTACAAACGTACATGAAACAACAAAGAACAACAAACAAAACATTGACAATATGTTAGTACTTAACCTCGAAACATTCAAAATACAATATCTTTTTTCCTAGACTTCTTTCGCTAGTAATTTTGTTATGAGAATGGTCAAGAATAAATTCTCAAGTGTTTTAGGCATTTTTGATATTTAAACGCTACTATTTCAGTTCAAATAAAATTATGTATGGGGACCTGCCATTGTCCTTTATAAACTAAGAAATAAATATTTTAGATTAATATCTTCTTACAAAATATTATGATAATGTTTACAACTCTTAAAGATGAAATTCGTCGTCTTATTTACCACATTAGTGTCTTATTGTCGATGTTTGCCGAACTATCAAAAGGTGTGTTACAAAAGTAAACACATGACATGCTATAAGCTACCATTCGCTTAACACATGTCACGGTTGCCATCTAACTGAATAACTAACTCACAATACATCGATTTAAATTGAACAATACAAATATATTCAGCAGTGGAGCGTAGAGCGAGTACAAATTTAATATTGGCGCATAGCTAGCAATTACAGTTTAAGAATTATTCATAGACTGATTTATAAAATATAACTATCGCAATTAACAGGTCCATGTTCTGATTGTATTTGTAGTAATGAATCGCCATATTTACAACGGGTACACTACATAAATACGAAAAACTTTATTCCGTCAGTCACAAACAGGAATTTCAAAAAAACTGATTTAAATCATTCCAAATGCTTCAAAATTCCTAATATAACAACTCCGATTCTTCATTCATCCTATTTTTATAATACAAATATTCCTAACGTTTAAAATTACCGTGCTCAAAATACCGAGTTTTAATAGATCAAATTATGGGGTATGTACTCCGCCACATAATTAACAATAATAATTCACTCCGTTATAATAATAGATTTCCTCAAATAGGTAACAGAATAGCAGCTAGTAGAAAAAATCTCCGTCCGAATTCTCCAAACATCCCAAGGCAACCGGTTGTCGGGTATAACGTATGGTCGTCAGGTAGGCAGAGAGGTATCATAATACATATTAATATTCTCAGCAGTCTCAAGGCTGTCCCACGATTGAGCAATGCTTGCAGCTCTGGATCATTCTCCTGAGATTGTGCAAGAAATTGAAAATCAATAGCGCTGGTTATCTCTTTGATCCGGGATGAAATCTTAAGTCCATGGTAAATTGTGAAATAAAAGTCGAGGTACCGGAACCGTTGGAGGCGAACACTTATCTCTGTTGAGCGAGAATGCGAACGTGAGCGGTTTTGGTCCGTAAATATCGTGAAAGTTCTTGCATCGATCATTTGGCGAAAATACTTGATAGCCTCGTACACAAGTCTATCAAGTATTTTCGCCAAATAAACTCTCGATCGAAAGGTCTAAATTTTTGTTTTTATAAGTAATCGACTTATTTGAGAAGAAAGCCAAGGGTTGCTAGTTTCCGTCTTTGAGTTGCTATAGCACGGCTCCTACAGCCAAATCTGAGGCGTCCGTGACTATAGCAAGTTCTGCGGTATGATCTGGATGTGCCACTAGTGTTGCTTGTGAAAGTTAGCTCTTACTATCTTCAAAAGAATAAAGCAACTTGGGTGTGAGCCTTTGATGAGCGGACCAACGAGAAGGTTGGTAAGAGGTGCCTGGATTTTAGCAGCATTTGAAATGAAATGTCCTTAAAAATTGATCATGCCAAGAAAACGCTGAACCTCTTTGATAGTAATTGGCACTAGTACATTCTGGATAGCTTCGATCTTGGTCTCCAGAGGCTTGGTGCCAGCTGCGGAAACTTAATAACCGAGAAATTCTACTTCCGACTGACCAAATTTACAGTTTAATAAAACGCCGTATTGCCTCAGACGTTGGAACAGCTGCCGTAGATGTCTCTTGTGATCTTCTGTAGATGACGAAAAGACGAGAATATCATCAATATATCCGTAGCGGAACTCCAAGCCTGACCAGACTTCGTCGATGAACCGTTGGAATGTTTGAACTGCATTCCTAAGACTAAATGTGATTTATGGAAACTCAAACAATCCAAAGGGAGTTGTGATGGCTATTTTGGGAATATCCTGCGGATTTGCAGCAATCGCATTGTAAGCCTTCACGAGGTCAACCGTAGAAAATATTGAGCATCCTGAAAGCTGGTAAGAGAAATTATGTATATGGCGGATGGGATAGTGATCCGGGAATGCTCCTTGCGTTGAGTGCCCAGTAGTCACAGCAGGGCTTCTATCCGTCGTCATTCTTCTTTACTAAATGAAAGGCAGAAGACCACAGGCTTTCTGAGCACCTGGCTGCACCACAAGCCAACATGTCCTCAAGCCCCTTTTTAGTGGCTTGAGTACGAACCGGATCAAGACCTCGTGGCCTGCAGAAAACTAGTTGTCCAGGCGTATAGTGAAGAGTAGTATGTTTTGCTAGAAGGTACGTACCTGCTGGCCTAGTGATCTCAGGAAATTCAGGTAGAATCCCGTGAAATTCGTTTTCACCTGTGACTGCTTTGACTGAGACAATGTCATCCGATGCTACCGATTGTAAAGCATTAACTGAGAGGGAAGTAACACCATCAATCAAGCGCTGATGTTTGCAATCCACGAGTAAGCCATAGTAGGTCAGGCAATCAACTCATCGGAGTTTTGATCGGAGATTGGTCGGGATACATCAGCTACCGTAAAGTTCCACGTGAAGTCACGCCGGAGTCTTAAGTTTAGGTGTAGCTTTACTGGATCGTATATATTTATGACTGTGCTGTTGGTTTCCAGCTCGATTTCCTAAGAGGCATTATCAGCGCAGGCCGTGGAAAAACACAAAGGTCAGAACCAGTGTTTACGAGAAACTGCATTTTACTTACCACCTCAAAAAAAACACATTTTTTCTTTATATTAAAGTGCTCTAATTTATTCACGGGTTTCACTATGTTTAAGTTTGATAACATCTTTTAATATCACTTTGTATAAAGCGATATATTGAAGAGTTATTATATATAAGTCAGTTTATTCCCAAAGGTGTATAATAATGTTTGCTACACCAAACGGATGTTTATATAACAACAATGAAAACCCTCTCAAACATCATCCGGCTGTTCTCTACACGTACTGTCGATAACAGGAACATATCATAAACTACTTGCTTAACGTTTGCGATGGGCTAATCTACTTGGTTACCGCTTAGCCACCAGCCCCTCATCTAATTATATAATTAAAACACTCCCAATTTTTGTTTTTCTGACTTACTTGTTTCAATCTTTCACTGTATGCTATTATCCATTTTTATCTTGTTATTGTATTCTCCACCGTTTTCCGAAACATATCTCTAGGAAAAATTAATTGGCATCAGGAATATTTCCTGAATATTTAATGATTGCTTGTCATTTCAATAGTCACCTTAAACTGTACAAATCGACTTAAAGAAATTAAATGACATTTAGAAATAATATCCTTTTTAAAGTTTACGAGTATAAACGGTTGATTAACAACCTGGTGTGAAGCAATATGTGATACCAAAACCAAACGAAGCACATATCTATTGCAAATTGTATTCCGGATTCTGAAATTGACAGACTTGAATCTTGAGAACGTTTGACAGAAACACTTTTGTAGGGTATACTTATAAATAACTTATCTAGTTAGATTTACATCAGACAAAACTTCGTTAAGTCTGGAATGATTTGAAAAATCGATATTCGAAAGAGATTCGTCAGGAACCTTAAATCCTAATTTCAATAATAACGCAAAGTGGTTGATTATCAAACATCACATTTATTTACAACATTACTATTATATAGACATAATTCATAAGTCTGAATATTTAAATAGTTAATAAAAGAAGTATTAGAAAGTAGATAAAAAAAACAACTAGCTTTCGAATTATTTTTAAAATTAAAAAGGATTTCTAATTTTTTCTCTCCAAAAATTTATTTATTTATTTATTTATTTATTAAAAAACAATTACAGTGTCTTTACAGGATTTATCCCAAAACGAAACTGTAAGTAAAGTATCATGAGTGAATCTATCAAGAAGTTCTGTCATCCTCCTATATAGTAGTTATAGATCCAATGTAGTAGTAGTAGAACAGGAAGCCTGGAAACACATTCGCAATCGATCTCTGTGATTTGGTAGTTTCAATGCAACTTCCGTTAGTCTCGTTTTGTAGTTGTATTCCTATTTTAACTAAATAAGTTTTAGTGTGCTAGCAATGCGTAATCTCGTAATCAACACAGGTTTTAGAATATTATACTACGCTGGCCAGACAGGTTGGTATAGGATTTGTTTCGCGTTTGTCCTTGCAGTGCTGTTGTCCTGCGTTTTACTTCCTTAGTAGGCTCTTACGACACCCGAGGTGGTGACGCTCCGTATTCTTAGTGCGTCACCACATGGTTATCATTTTGATTAAAAGGTGTTTCATTTGAGACAGAACATCAATTAGAACTCTTATTTATTACTTTTATTAAATGTATTTAGTAAATCCTCTTATCAGAAGTGATTAAAAGGATTTACTAAATACACAAAATTAAGTTAATCCTGCATAACTAGTGATCTTAAAGTGCGTTTTTTATGGAGCTGAAAAGTGCTGATACTTTCAAAATTATTCGTCTCTAGTATAAGCTAAAATATACTGCGTCCTGACTTTCTTCAAAACTCTCTGAATTGCGGAAAACCATCAGAACTTAAGCGAACAAAATAGAAACACCACAGAGTTGTACTTAATATACGTTCTGGTTAACTGTTATTTTTATATGTCGGATGAGATAAAGTTTTTATTTTTTAATTACCTACAAAGAGGTAGAATTAGTTGGTACTGCTTACCAGAGAACGAGCCATTGTTTTTTTCAGAACATGTTTATATAGACAAAAAATAACGTTAGAAGTAAATGTACATATGTTATGTTTACGTTATGATCAAGCAAAGAATTGCTTTACAACAAATATATTTCCAAATATATTAATAATCAATTCTCTGTTCTTGAAATTCCATCACCTAGTCTGTTAACAACTGAAATCACCATTTCGGGGCTCGCCTCCTTTAGATCATACGCCCATCCTTTTTTCTCAAACCATTTGATTAGGGAAGTCGAAAAGCTAAGCATATCAATAAATTCAGCCGCCTTGTAGTCAAATGGAAACGTGTGGTGATAATTGTGCCAACCCTCACCGAAGGTGATCGTTGAAACAAGTTTGTTTTGTTTAGGTATAATTTTCCTGCAATAAAAATGTCTTAATTACTTACAATCGTGTATTCATCACGTTTTAGTGCCATTCCCGAGAAATGGAGTCCATATTAAATCTATATTAAAGAAATTTGTGTAAATTACTATACATATTAAATAAAAACTATCTTACTTGTTATATGGAGTATATCCGTGTATATGGGCGAGACTGTTTACTGTAAGTTCACCATGAAATACGAGAAGGAATCTTATGAAACACTGCCAAGCAACTGCACATTTCCAGTCTTCTTTCCAAAGCAGTATGCCAGTTAAAGTTGGAATCACGAAGCAAAAAATTGAATTAAGTATGGTTGAATTCCTGTGGGACAATATATTAAAATTGTGAGACTTCAATAAACATGTGATAGTGCTTCAAGCTACTATTTGGAAGCGATTTAATAAGTAACTTTAGAAAATTATAATAATCCTATAACTACAATTTTTTTTGGATCTTACGCATTTATTGGTCAATAGAAGTAACTTAGATATAGAGCGTCAGAAAGAAAAAAAAAAGAGAAAAATGTTAAGTCCTCCGTTAAATTTCAGACCAAAAGCGAAAACTATTTGTTACAGTGCTTGGTTCGAGTTTATGCAAGCGAACGATACGTGAAAACGTTGAATATTTTTATATATAATTTTTCATATTATTATTTATATTACATTATTTTTTTAACATTTCACATGCTCTCACACACTTTCACACACCCAAATTTGGGCTTAGAAGGATATGTGATTTTCTAAATTATTCAATCAAATCTGGCTTAAGTCTGTCTAACGATGCTCAGCTTAAGATATATTCTATAAAAATAAAATATTATCTTGTCAAATTAAGCAAGACTTTAAATAGTTAACAACATACCATTTAATTCAAGTATAAAAAAATAATTTTAAAACATTAAACAATGAACTAGATAGCCTAGTACTAGCAGATTGCTCAACTTGTAGTATTAATGAATGTAGGTAGTTAATTTATAATGATAATCGCTCCCTCATCATCGTCCAAAATATTAGAAGTCTAAAGTCTTTACAGAATGTTGGTTGATCACTTTATGCCCACCATCGAATAATACAACTACTATCATACACTAAACAATAGAATCTAAAATGAGGGTGTAGCGGTTTACTACAAGACAATACTTATATAAAAAATTTCGAACTGCAAAATTTGTGGGATGCTAACTGTTTGTTGATTAGGATTGATGTAAATACAGCTATCCTTGCTGTTTATCGGCCGCATCAGTACATCCCCTTGAAATGGAGAGAAGTTAAAGTAGTCTTCATCCCCAAACCTGGTAAAGGTGACTACACACAACCCAAATCACACCGACCTATCAGTGTCACGTCTTTCCTATTAAAGGTTCTCGAGAGGCTAATAGATAGGGAAATCAGGGAATCTACGTTAGTCAGTCACCCTCTACACCACAATCAACACGCATACTCGATGGGTAAATCAACAGAATCTGCCCTACATCGAGTTGTTTCACATATAGAAGACAACCTAAATCACAAAAGGTCAACACTGGCCACCTTTATCGATATCGAGGGAGCCTTTGACAAGACCAATTTCACCAGCATTAGCCAAGCTCTGTCTAGACATGGTGTTGATTCCACAATCTCAGGGTGGATCGACAGCATGCGAAGATATAGAGCTATTCAATTCACTGTGAGCAAAGTGACTAGAGGAGTGGTGGCTAGAGGTTGCCCCCAGGGCGGTGTACTCTCCCCCCTTCTATGGAACATTGTTGTGGATGAGCTCATCGCACGACTTAATGACCAAAGATGCCTCACAATAGGCTATGCAGACGATCTTACTAACTGCAACAATTCCAGCGACTCCCATGCTCCGCGGTCACTGGCTGTATGCGCACAACGCCTACTGCCGCACTGGAGGTGTCTCTTGGTCTGCCCCCCCTGGATTTATTCATACAGCAGGAGGCCGCCATGGCGATCATTAGACTCAGATACCTAGGTCTATAGCACAAAAGCGAGGGATCGCACTCCAAATTATGGGATCAATTGGTGGAATACGAACCACTGATAGCAGCTCCATGCGATAGAATCCCAAAAACCCCATATCTTCACAAGAAGATACTACATCCAGATACATGGAAATGACCGAGATCAATCTGGCATTAACGAAGTCCGAATTTACACGGACGGTTCCAAGACTAGGTGAGGAACTGGAGCCGGAGTTTTCTCGCAAGACCTAAATATAAACATATCACTAGCGTTAGGCCAACACAGTTCCATATTTCAATGTGAATGTGTGGCAATAACCTACGCTGCCACAACGGCCATGTCAAGGGGTATCAAGGACTACAACATCCGAATAATATTCGACAGCATGGCCGTCTTAAAGGCACTAGAGGGCAACACAATGACCTCTGGTATTGTCTTCGAATGCCATCAAGCACTGAAACAGCTCGTTACATTCAATGGGGTACTCCTCCAATGGATTAAAGGGCACAGTAACTCACACGGGAACGATGCCGCAGATGAGTTGGCAAGGCCCTCCTTAGCTCAGCAACCCCGACTTCCGGCCCAACCACACGCCTGCCCATATCGTTTAACCAAATACGATGCTGGGTCAGGCAACGGACCTGTGAAGCACACAACCGGAGGTGAAAAAACTCACCCGGCTGCAAATAGTCCAAACTGGTGCTGAATCAAGTCACACCACGACTGACCTTCAGATTGATCAGTCTTAGCAGACTGGAAAACAGAATGGTTGTCGGAACTATTACAGGACATCTAGCCCTGAACCGACAACATCATCAATGCGACGGACAGTTCCCTGTGCAGGGGATGTCTGGAAGCTGAAGAAACGGTCGTCCACGTAATCCTGGAATGCGAGGAAGTGGCCACACAACGGACAAGTATCATTCCCGATATAAAATCGCTCCTAGAAGCCTGTGAATGCCCCAGGAGGCTTCTGCGCTTCTGGAAGGAGCTTGGCCGTCTCACCTAGTCAACCAATCCTCGACGCATAAAGGACCACTCTGAGTCTAAATGCGGAAACCGAAGCCCACAACCAATACCAATACCAATGCCATGGGGTGAACGTAATCGCTTAACTTTTGCACCCAACAAAAAAGCTTCCAGCTACTTTTAAACAACAAAACATGGCATGCAATTTTTTGGCGCACGGGATCGCAGTAAAATTACAAGATTGCTTCAACAGCAGTCCAATGTTTATAATGACGTCATAGACGAATGGCAACAACGCTGGGACGAATCATCCAAGGGGCGCCATCTTTACCAGTTCTTTCCATCTGTTCGCAAACGGTTGTCGAGAACATGGCTTGAGGTGGATCACTGTGCAGCTCAATGTCTTACGGGTCATGGTAATTTTAAGAGAAAGCTATATTCATTTAAATTAGTCGAGTCACCATTGTATCAATGCTCAACACCTAACTCTCACTATGAACAGTCTGCTCATCATATCCTCTGGGAATGTAGGCTTTGGTATAATGAACGTAATATAATGCTGAATAGCTTGCAGGTGACATCTGGGGCGGTATGCTATGGGGATCTTGTGTCAACTAGGGTGAATTTCCGTGCGTTTAGGAGATTCTGCCATACATATTATAGAAATCAAATTTAGCTTACCTAGGACCCGTAATATTTTGTGGCCGTGGTGCTTCCCTGTTTAAAAGGGTGTATGTCTATTTTATTTCATTTTGTCTCCCGCTTTACTAAGGAGGGAAGTGGATTTACTGTATTTCCAACTCCTCCAATTTTCTTTTGATTAATTTCGTTGCGGGTTCCAAGACAGTTTAATTTAGATGCTGTGGATCCTGGTGTACAGGAGTTACAGTGATGGGCGTGTGGGTGGGATTAGTCCCCAAATGCAGTCAAAAGTTTCTTCCGTGGTGTCAAGGTTGACGAAATTCGTTAAAAAAACGAGCACTTCTGTTCCGCCTCACTCGTTCGCACTTGTCACAAAAGATGTAAGCGAAATTAGATCTCAAATTTTAGACTTAAAAATGACTGCACTGCAGGATATGATAATTTATCATGTGATTTTACTAAAACATATGTAATGATTGGAAGTCCATTGTGACGTCCCGCAGGGCAGTATACTGGGTCCAATCTTGTGCCTCGTCGTCATTAATGATCTAGGTGATCTTTAAATCGTAATTGGAAAGATTTTAACTTATGCTGATGACACAGCCCTAATCTATGGCGCATCTAATTGGGAATAGACGTTTAATTACGCGCAAGTAGGTTATAGCCTTGTAACTACATGGCTCTCCCAAAATGCATTATCCCTAAATTATATTCCTATGTCATTGACTTCTTCTCTTTCCCCTGAACTATCTAAATATTCCACTTTTGCGCACACTTTTCAGAACAATGTTGATACCGCATACATTTGCCCTAGACTGAATATAAAAAACGATATGAAATACCTAGTGATTTTCATTGATAGAAATCTTAGTTTCAAACCACATTTAACTCTCTTGGCGTCAAAGGTCCGTAAACTCATTTACATCTTCAAAAGTCTTAGAAATGTAGCGTATAAATATAAATATTAAAAAACACCTATTCAGCACTATGTCAATCCCTTCTAACGTACTGCATAACAGTGTGGGGTCGAGCTGCTAAGACCTTAATTCTTCGAGTGGAGCGAGCTCAGAGAGCTATTCTACAAGTTTCGCATTTTCTCTATTTCTACTATTCCACCGGTGACTTATATTGCGCTTGCGAGATTATTACGTTCGCCAGCTGTATATTCTGCATGCAGTACTAAGAAAACTTTCTACAATTCATTTCACACCCACAGCCACTCATATAGACGCAGAAAACCTAAGGTCCCCCATATTATACGAGTATTGGAATAGTCTTTCTCTTAAAATGTTTTGTTTTTGTCACTTAAATACATTCGAAACTAGAAATACATTTTGTTTCAATAAATAACTGCGAGCAGACAGTCTCCAAATGGTTACAAACACAAAGTTACGATGAAACCGAAAATCTGGTGGTAAAACATTAAATATTTAATCGTACCAGCATACATTAACATTCTCATACACATGAATACGCACGCATACACAAATTCAAACACACATACCAATACACACACACCCTTAATTTCCTTTTATTTTGTCTTTCTTTTAACATATTATTTGCATAGTAGTTCTAGCTCATAGTGTCCACACTATCTGAGACTTGATGTATGTGGGAAGCCTGGTAATCTGTTTGACATGATCTTCCTAGTTCTCACAAAGGTCAGCAATAAATAAATACTTTGTAATGTATCATAGATTTTAACCTTTGTAAAAGAAAAATAAGTGATTAATATTATAATTATTATATTTATTCACTTTACAAATAAGCTATAAGAATTACAAAAAAAAATAAAAAAAAACAAATTTAAATTCCTTACAAAACTCACCTATTAAAAAACATTATGATCTCATCGTTTTCAATGTCGCTCATATCAATCTTTTTCCCTTCTTTTATTACCTCTTCGTTCTTAACCGTCATAAGCCAGCCAATATGAGAGAAAAAAAATCCCCGGTTCGCATTATGGGGGTCCGCGTTTGTGTCACTGAATTTATGGTGTAGACGATGATCACGGATCCATTGGTAAATAGGATTCTAAAACAAAATATTAATTAGAATATAATATTAACAGTTATAAAAAGGGTAAAACAAATAAAAATTGTTTGATTTTTATGGTAGAGCGGCCAAATAAGCAGCTTGGTCACCTGATGATAAGTGCATATCGCTGGCTATGTCCGCACTTACAACTCAAGAGTTTCAACGGCATACCGGGCTTCGAAGCAATTAGCAAGGGTTAGAGATATCGGTAACTTCACCCATTCTGTGAAATCTAATAAGAGTGTCTTACACCGGTTTTCAGTGAGGACCACGGAAAAAAATTGCTCCGTGGTGAGGACCTGCTTAATTTTTGAGCTGACTCAAGGTGACGAAACTTGAAAAGGTTGAATATCGTCTCTAGATATTTATTAAAATAAAAAAAAAAAACTGGTAGTGTCTGTCCTGTTTATGTAATCACTTTGCTAGTTCATTGATTACCTTAACATTCTAGTTTTTTAATTATGGAAAGTAAATTTGTCAAAGCTTATGGTTTTTGACTTCAATCAAATGTAACACAGATGCATGTTCCGTTGAAAGAGATTTATTTCTCATTAAGACATCGTGACTTAAACGAAAACAAAATAAGAAAAAATAAGTTATGTTTATATATAATAAGGTACAGGTAGTTTTAAGTTAGAAAACACATATTAAATAATGATTACCTAAGAATGCGTGCTCTCTACTAAGTCACATGCTTTCATATCAAACCATAGTGACCGGTGGTACAAGTTAAGAGCATTTTTATGTTATAACAATATTGTTGCCCCATATGATTGAATCGTTCTAGTATAGAGCAGTTAGTTCCTGAACAATCGAGAGCCGAGAGATATTATGATTCAATTTGTCCTGCGCTATATTGTATTAACCATTATATTATCGTCCTATACAGTTATTTATATAGTGTTAATAGTATGTGTATTCTTTCTGTTCTATATACTTCCTACCGTTCTAACTATTCTATTGTGCCTTCTAAGTAAGCATCTTTGTGTCGTGTGTGGTGTGAACATTAAAACTGTAGCGGTGAAAAAGATTGTTTATTTTATTGCGAACTACCAACCGTAAGTCACATTACACCCTAAAGATCAAACTGGTAACCTCGAAGTGAACATAAAAAAGTGTCAAAAGTGAGCAGTGACGGCAGCGATACAGACACATTACAACGTAGCCAGCGCCTTGGGCGCCGAAGAAACAAATGTCAATGCGTTTCCGACCCTTCGTTAGAGTTGTTTAGAGTAGGCGTGCGCATACCTCCCTTCTGGCCTGAAAAAACTACGATATAGTTTTATCAGATCGAAGGACAATTTAAAATGGCCAGAATTACCGACGACGACACGAAATTTCATTAAGCCTTGGTTCACTTCGATCGTCAATATTCGGTTGAGGTGGAAAACCTCATCACTTCACCGTCGGCTGCAGCAAGTACGACAAGCTGAAGAGTGAGCTGATTAAGCGCTTGTCAGTGTCGAAGGAAAGGAAGTCGAAGCAGCGTCTCCAGTCCGAAGAACTTGGTGACCGTAAGCTATCCCAGTTTTTACGGCACCTGCAGCACCTAGCGGGTCCAGCTATACCAGAAGTCATCCTACGAACTAACCTGCAGACCGTCAACGCGTCACAGATAAGCCTGCCCCTCGCCAACTTGCAGACCTGGCTGACAGGGTACACGACTTGGCGCCTCTTTCGTCTTATGTCGCAGCGGTCTCTACTTCAAGAGAACATTCGTCGTCAGATATGATAGCCGTCATTATGGAACTGACCAGAAAAGTTGACGCACTAGCCACGGAAGACCACGGACTCTCCGGTCATGTACCAGGCAACTCTCGGACTACAGAAGTCGTCCACCATCCCGGCGTTCGCAGTCCAACTATGAAAAGTTCCCGCACTGTTGGTACCATCACAAGTTTGGTAATCAAGCGAAAAAGTGCATCCACCCATACGACTTCAAGTTGGGAAACGCACAGGGCAGTCAATAATGGCTGGTGATGTTTACCCTTCTTCTACTGGCCGCCTGTTCGTAACGGATCGTAGGTCGAAAGTCCAATACCTACTGGACACTGGAAGCCACTTATGTGTCTTCCCTCTACTTGCGCTCCCACAACACAGCCTTGCAAAGACTGAATACCAGTTGTGTGCAGCTAATGGGTCAAGCATAAACACTTATAGCTATCTACGGGTAGTTTTAAATTTAGGCTTACGTAGACTTCCCTTGGCGATTTATAGTTGTTGATGTAACCAAAGCCATTATAGGAGTGGATTTTTTGTCTGTTTATAATCTCATTGTTGACATTAAAAAGAGTAAAATGATGGTACAATTAATTTGTCAGCTGTAGTATCTATCGTTAGCACCGATAGCCTTGTTTCAAGAGTAAAGGTTGTGACTGGTGAAGCAAATACCGTAATCTATTAGATGAGTTTCAGGAAATCACATGACCGCAGCAGGTATACCAAAACACTATACAACACATTATCAGTCACCCCCTAGTATCCTGGGACCCACGCAGACTAGCTCCGAACAAGCTGAAGATTCGAGACAATGCTTGCAAATGGTGTTGCTCGACCTTCAAACAGACACTGGTCTTCACCTCTAAACCTCGCTCCGGAGAAAGACAATGGATGGCATCCTTGTAGTGACTTCAGGCTGCTGAATGCGAGGACAATACGCGATAAGTACCCCATTAGACACATCCATGACCTTGCCCATAGTCTATCTGGTTGTTGTAAAATCTTTTCCACCATTGATATCGTTAAAGCTTACAATTAGATACCCGTATTGGAGCAGGATATTCTAAAAACGGCCATTGCTGCACCATTCAGGCTCTTTGAGTTTCTGTTTATAACGTTTGGCTTGAGGAACGCTGGTCAAACTTTTCAAAGGTTTGTGGACAAGATGACCCGTTGCCTAGATTTTTGTTACCCCTACTTTGATGACTATCTGGTTTATCCTTTGAATAAAAGGATGAGGCTGAGCATGAATAGTATCTTCGTCAGCTCTTTACAAGAATGAAGGATAACGACACGACTAAATGCGTCTTTGGTGCACAAGAGGTAACATTTTTAGGCTAACATGTCTCACATCACGTCACCAAACCTTTGGAGAGCAAGGTGCAGACAATTAGGAATTCCCTGTACCCAAGACAGCCAGGCAGCTCAGGAGATTCTTGGGTATGGTAAACTTTTACCTTAGATTTTTACCCTGGGCCGCCCAGATCCAAGCATCCTTACATGAGTTGCTGACCGGTAGCGTGAAAGCCTTTCAGCTGATTAACATAAGCGAAGAGTCGTTGACAGCTTTCGAGGAGTGTAAGGACAGCTTTTGCAAGGCAGCCTTGCTGTCAGATCCTGACTCTGAAACAAAACTAGGCTCTTTTTGTTGACAGGGTGGAAAATCCCTTCAGATATCCTGCTCCTCGAGGACTCAGGAGCCAGGAGTATGTGGTGATTAAACTAAAAACCACCCCGACTACCGGCCTCAGGTGCCCCGGTCTGGGAGGACCCGGACCTTATTATTTCACGTCCTCCCCGAATTGACACCATGCCTAATCAGTCCCTAACTTAGGGGAAAGAGCACTTCCCCCCTCAATCGCGACGTGGCGGCCGAATAGCGTCTTAACACAATCAGGCCGCCATCCTATCGCCTACCGCTGCAATTCATCTGCCACCAGAGGTCCCCCTCTCTGGTAACCTGCGCCACTGCACCAGTGCCTGTCAGTGAGCGTTCCGCCGCATTTCGAGCTAGTCCTGGTCTTCCCCGCTCTCACCCCAGACAGCCCAGTCTAGTCATAGACCCTGGCGTCCATATCCGCCAGGATATCAAAGGGCGGGAAACGAGCCTGGACTTTCGCTGCCTCCGACGAAATAATGCGGTATTCCCGTACGATCCGAAGGGCCGCTACCCGCTGCGGTTGACTGAACTTAGCTCGGCAACGGGAGTAGACCGATGGGAGCTTGGCCTATATCGTCGCTCCGTAGAAGGCCATGGATTGTATCACCACACTGTAGAGGCGGCAAACTTCCTCCCGCGAACCCCCTATGTCAGGCAAAAGCCTCTGTAGGGAGCCCTCATGCTGGTCCTCAGAACGGCATCATACGCGAGGTTCCACAGAAGATGTCCTAAGACCGACTCCTGGGGAAGCCCGCATGTGACTTCCCTTCGACGTTCTTCGCCGTCCCGATCCATATACGAGATGGATCTGTCGCGCAGATAGACCCCGATGATGTCTCACAGGGGCAACTCGTGATAAACCAGTGCCTGCCTAATCACCCACCAAGGGAGAGAGTTAAAGGCGTTGACTATGTCAAGACTGACGGCCAACGCAACTCCACCTTGACAGACAACCTCTTCCGACGGAGGCAACTCGTAAACAGCCGTCTACCTGGTAAGGCCTAGTGATGGATGCGTCTGATGCTGCTAGCGGTAGAGTCTTGCAGCAATTTAAGGATGGTAGTTGGTACCCATTGGCATTTTTTGATTACGATGATCGTTTTTGTGACAACTCTTGCACATTTTTAATCGAGACAGTCTTGTAGGTATTTAGCGGTCTATCAAAGGAGTTGACTCACTATTAGTATTTATTATACATTATGGTAATCTGTAACTGGATAGTTTAATGTTTTTTTTTGTAAATGAGTATACATTTATTGTATGTGTATAGCTGGTGTTCAATGTTCATAGATTTGTTTTTTTTTTTAAGTTTTAGACAGAGTTAAATAGTCGCAACGATATGGTATTTTTATCATTTTGTTTTATACTATCTGTATTGTTTTATATTAATTTTAGCTGCATTGCCCCCAATCCCAATCAAAGAAATTAGGTGAGACTACTAGGGTGTTATAGAAGGCGAACTTTTTGTACCACAAACAGTACGCCATCATGATCCATTACAAAGTTACTTTCAAACAATAGCAAGGCATTCGGGATTTATTGTTGACAACTAAATTGTGCATAAAACTAATGCATGCACAGTTTAGCTGGTGAATTTTTGAAAGGGTATTAAAAAATCTGAAATATAAAAAACCAAATTTTTATCGATAAAGTAGGAAAATTTAATCATTAATCTTGTTCATATTTACCTGACCTGCTGCGACGTAGCACAAAAGAAGATATATTTTTAGTGGCGTTTTTACTTTATAACATTTGTGTGTAAACAGTCGATGGACACCACAAGTGATGCCTTTTCCACTTATTATGTACATAACTGGCACTAAAAAGAAAAATACATTAATATTTTTTTCTTTATGGAATCTACTAAAAAAACAGTTCCTATTCCTACCTTCCACAGACGATGCAATAAACTTATAACTTTTTTGTATGTCATGCTAGATTCACTGCAAATTAAAGTTAAAAAAAAAAAACCGTTTCCGGCGGTCATAAGAGTAACAGTGCGTTAAGTGTGCTCCCGAGTTTCTTATTTAACAACCAGTGAAAACCAGAAAATATCAATCCGAATTGGCAAAAATCACTACACCAAAGCCAAAACAAAGTAAATTGTGACAAAAGTTCACTAAAAATTGGATTAGATTGGAAATTATCACCAACAGTTACCACAATTATACCACAGTTTGGAGGTAAGAAGTTCTTTAAAATTTTCATCATAAACATATCAGTTAACAACTTGACACTTCTCACTGACATAAGCAAGCGAAGTAATACCAACATAACAGACGAAACATTCACGTTCGGATACACATATACTGATACGTTTAGTTGTCGCATTATGGGTTATGAAGGTATGTCAAAGGAAATGCTACAACTATTTCAATTGATGAAAATGGAATTAGAAAAACAAACAACAACGATTACACAGAACATAACGGATACCATAATGCGCACTATAGACGACAAAATACAACCATTATTGGAAGAAAATAAACACCTAAAATCTGAAGTGCAAACATTGAATAGAAAAGTAAAATATTCAGAAGAGATGAATAAAAAGAATAATATAATACTGCATGGTAGTAATTATGCAGAGTTATTCAATACAATAACGGCTATTTACAAAAAATGAATGTCAATATAGAAAAATACGAAATAAACAAATACTACAGAATGGTAAAATAAAGCAAAAATGCCACCTAAAATTTTTCTTACCGAAGATTTCTCAAAAGAAAAGCTTGCTACGTAAAAATCTACAGCAACAACTAAAAGAAGAAAGGGAAAAAGGAAACAAAGCTTTCATCAAGAATAATAAACTTATTGTAAGAGGCAAACCAGAAGCTGAAAAGAGAAAAAGAGAAATTTCTATGTCACCCAAGAACATACAGAAACAACCTAACTCCACAGAGGGGAATAATATTATTGCCCCCTCTAAAATGCACAAAACCGATGCATTTGCATACATGAGAGCCAGATCTTTTTCACTAGTAGAGAAACAAACTCAACCTCATAAGGCATAGGAATTATCCGATACCGGAAACGTGAAGAACCCACAATACGGTTGGTCACCGCGGGGAAATAGACCGTACCCCCCCTAAAGCCTATAGTAAGTAGATTCAAAAGTCCTAACAAACACGTCTCCGAAAAAAATAAACAAAAACAAAGAACAAGACTAAATATAGCCACACTAAACACAAGATAAAATCCCAAGAATCCCTACTCGAATAAGAAAATGAAATAATTGAGTTTCTTGGCATATCGGATAGGATAGCAGTTTTAAGTATCTAATTACTTGGCCGTAACCAACCATCCTCAATCGTTCAAATATATGCCCCGACTGATGTCACCAAAGAAGAAATAAAAAACGATTTCTACAACAAACCATAGCATATAAAACCATAATCGTATTAGGCGACTTCAATGGCCAAATAGGAAAGAGAAGAACCAACGAGGACAAAGTACCACATACAACAGGCAAAGGGAATGACAACGGTCAAAGATTGATAAACTTCGCGTTGGAAAACAACCTCCATATCTAATCCCTATAAATCCTAGAATCCTAATGGGAAGTGGACATGCGTCTCACCGAATAGTAAGTTAAGAAATGAAATAGACTACATTATCACAAACAAATCAAGATTGTTCTTAAACATAAACATTGTCAACCAATTCAACTACAACACAGACCACAGATTACTTAGAGGACAACTTTAAACACGAGAGCCAAAAACATCAAGGAAAAATATTTACAACACGAAACCAGTAGCTTTATCAATCTCGGAAAATATTCTATAGGCCTTACACACTAATTAAAAAAAAATAGATAATCTTAAAGAAGTTCAAGTAAAGTATGACGCTCTGGAAAAGGAATTAAAAGAAACTGAAAACAAATTGAGAACAACAAGAGAGAAAAAAGACAAACCAGGTCCAGAAGCAAGGAAGTTGATCATGCAAATAAAAACTTTGATATCAGACAGAAAAATTAACAAAAAAGGAATAACAAATCTGAGCAAAGAAATAAACCTGCAAATACGAAAACACAGAGAGAAATTAAGAACCGAAACACTAAATTACCATATAGAAAAATACAGGTGGACTCAAGAAAGCATGGGTCGAATTAACAGATAACTTTACTTGGATCGAAAACATAAAACACCACAGAAACAAGAAAAATAACACAAATAGAATCGAAATATTAGAAGTAGCAACAGAATATTACCGTGAATTATACAACAACGATGTAACAATAGAGGAATCCATGCAGCTAGTAAACTGGGCCAAAACGGACGAAGAAGGAACCCCATACTGAGAGATGAAGTCTATAAGGCTATCAAATCACAGAAGAAAGGAAAAAACGCCTGGAGGAGATTGCATATCTAACGAACTGCTAATAGGATCATCCTAAGTAACGTTAAACACTATCACAGCAGATATTTAATGAAATTTTGCGCACAGAATACATACCTCAACTCGTATCACTGAGAGCGAAGAGCAAAATATTTAATTCGTGTATTCTGCCTGTCATGACATATGGATGCCAAACCTGGATCTTAACTAATCACAACATACATAAATTAGAAACATGCCAACACAGTATAGAACGAAGCATACTCAACATCAAATTGAAAGATAAAATAAAACTGGATACTATAAGGAAGAAAACTAGAATCACAGATGTTACCTATTGTATTAAAAAGCTAAAATGGAGGTGGGCAGGACATATGATTGAACTTACTTGGGAAAGACAAGCACATAATCGTATTCGATGGCGAACTTTAGGGGAGGCCTATGTTACACAGCAAGACAATCTTCACGTACCGCCGCTGTAACTCGTGTACACCAGGATCAAAAGCAGTGATCCACAAACACACCGAGTGATAGAACTCGGTAAGTCTCAGGAAAAATATAAACTGTCTTGGAAAATAATCAGAAGAAAATTGAAGGTTTTGGAAATATAATAAATCTCTCTCTCCTTAGTAAGGCGGGAGACAAAATAAAGTAAAAGTGGGTATACACACCTTTAAACAGGAAATTACCACTGCCACAAAATATTACGGGCCCTAAGTGAGCTATATTTGATTCCAGAATCGCCTGAACGCAAGGAAATTCATCCTAGTTGACACAAGATCCTCATAGTAGCTGCCAGCCAGCACCGGTAAAGCCTCAGTGCTAACCGTCCTTTATGCCTTGCACAAAAATATCATTGCGAGTTGTCAGCCTTGTAATAGTTTGCGACGGGTAGCGCCTACAATTTCAGTATCGGCCCAGACAGGTGCACCATAGCACATAGAACCTAAATAAGTAGCTCCTTATTGTAATATTTAGTGTATTAAATGATAGACCCCATGTCACAGTTGATATCCTTGTCAATGCACAGAAACTTTTTTTAGACTTTTCATTAACTGTTCTGATATGTTCGATAAATGAAAAGTTTATTTCTAGAACTAATCCTAAGTAACAAACTGAGATTTTATTTTGTACAGTGATACGAGTATAGTTGAATTTAATGCGTGGCGATGATTTGAGTTTACCTTTTAAAAGTAGCTGGAAGGTTTTGTGCAAAAGTTAAGCGATTACGTTCACCCCAATGAGATATTTATTTGAAACATCCATTCGATAATTTCTGAAGACCCGCCCTAGTTTCGGATTCTACTAATTGTATAATCGAGTGGACCCTATGGAAACTTTCTTTTTTTAATTAAAAATAAATACTTACAAAACAAAATCGTTAATAGTTTGGCGGGGAACGCGTAGTGCCATATCCACCAAATTCCAAATAAGTGATATGATATGATTTTAAAACTCGCTCCCCATTTAATTTTATTTTTAAAACCAAATAATTTCTCAATGTCACTAATTCCCATTTTCACGCTCACTACTCAAATGACTGTTGAAATGTAGTCATTTGAAATGTATTATATAGTATTTCAAATGTAAATTCACGTACAAGTGTAGTAGTACAAACGAATAGGTGTATTAATATTTATTGTATGTACCCATAACTCATGCATACTAATATTATAAATGCGAAAGTATGTCTGTCTGTCAAGTGATTTTTTAATCGTCATCATTCCAGAGGTACATTTTTAAGAAATATAACAGTGTTTACATGTTTATCTCCAACGTAAGTAACGAATTACTTGGTCTAATTGAAAGAAATAAAAAGGAAAATTTAGAATTAGCCCGGATTCATACACAGTGCTCTAAAGGCATTGCTGCCCGGGATAGGCTTCAGCTCATTGTGGATGGGTTCAACTGGTGCAGTGCTGAGTATGAGCTTACTCTTGATCGTATCGCATTAAGAACCGTACTGATATTGCGGGCTTCTCTATTAAAGGGTCAATAAAAATAGCATGTGCGGAGTTAGAGCAACTTATTGTGTTGAGTGTATACAGGCCTCCATCCTCAATTTATATTAGTTTTGAAAAAAAACAACAATGACGTCCTCCAAAATATATGTAAATAAAACAAAAGTATAGTTGTGTATGGTGACTTTAATGTAAATATTATATATTGGGAGAGACATCCTTGAGTTTACGATTTTAAAACCTATTTGGATTATATAATCTTGAGAACATCTTTTTGGACCCTACTAGGATCACTGCCACCACAGCCAAGTGTTTAGATAATACTCGTATATTTACTGACATAGTGCAACACACCAAAACAAGTGTGCTTTTGCTAGGAAAAACCAAATGGAGATAACACTAGATATTACTGTAGTACCTAAAACTGTAACTCGTACTCGTACTCGTAAAAAAAATTCAAAAATAAACTGCTTAGTAAACTACCCCGTTTTGGTTATAGTGATGATCCGAATCTATTATTTAACGCTTTTTTTAACATGCATTGTTCAGAATCTGAATCAACTTTTACTCCTAAGAAGTTGTCAGTTAAAGGCGATCCAACCTTCAGTGAATGGGCCACGCTAGGTTTATATAATAGTAGAACAAGGCTTTATGAGCTTTATGAAGCAATAAATTATAACACTAGTATGGAATCTCGAGAATATGTTAAACGATATTCCAATTTATTAAGAAAAAAATTGTCATTCTGCAAAGGTTAATTATTTAAAATATAATATTTGTAACAGTTCAAAAAAATTAGAATTACCTGGGCGATAATTAATACAGAAACTGGAAATTCAAAGAACAAATGTAATAATTAAAGTCTTATTATTGATAATAAAGTAATTAAATCCGATTTAGACGCTGCCACAGCTTTTGAGAAAATTTTCACACACATTCCAGTTTCGAGAACAGTATCATTGAATTCGTCTCCCACTATTGCAGAATCTCTATTCAGAAGTTTTTTGTGACTTATACATATAAGGCACATTTCCAGATCAATGTTTTCATGAAACATTGATCAGGAAATGGCATCATTATGGAATTAGGTAAACTGGATACTTGGATCTTCTAATATCTTATTTCGGTAATAGGATCAGGCAGGCAGGCAGAATAAGCAGAGGTCCCTGGGGTCTCTGGTCACTATGGGAGTACCGCAGGGCTTAATTTATATAAATTCATTTTTGTTTCTTGTTTATATAAATGTCCTACCTCATCTGATAAAAGATAGTCAGGATATAGTGCTATTTGCCGATGACACTTCACTTTTATTTAAACTTACACGACAGCAATCAGTTCCTGATGACGTTAATAGCACTCTCTTTAAGGTCTTGAATTGGTTCAATGTTAATAATTTACTTTTATAGGAGAAAAACCTAAATATATTAGATTTTGTACACCTAATGTTAAGCAGTTAAAAACTAGTGTTCTGATAAATATAAATGAGTTGGATCTTGTGGACACCACCAAGTTTTAGGGTATAACCTTAGACTTTAAATTACAGTGGGCCCACATATTGATGAATTGTGGAATAGACTCAGCAGCATACGCGGTTTAAAAAAAATCGTCAATTAACTGATTTAGAAACAGCTAGACTGGTGTATTTTAGCCATTTCCATAGTGTGATGTCATATGGTATTTTGTTGTGGGGAAATGCTCCTGACGTTTCAAGTATCTTTGTGTTGCAAAAGAGAGCTGTTCGCGCAATTTATAATCTCTGTTATAAGCGGTCACTGAGGGATAAGTTTAAAGAAATTGGTATCACGACAGTCGCATCTAAGTACATAAATATATGAAAATTTAGTTTATGTTAAGAAAAATATTCATTTCTTTACGAAGTTAGCTACATTCACCAATTAAAGAAACGTATCGAGTTTTTGCGTATCAAGTCAAAAACTCTCTACATTGGACTTAAGTAGTCGTTAAAAGAACTTTTGCTCTTCAACCTACCTAAAAGCCAATAAATCTTAACCTTTACTGTACCTGGCAACACAACGGGGAAAAACACAACTAGATTTAATATTTATTTTTTCGGGGAAAATCGCAACTAACATCGGAAAATCGTAAAATAATGCCACTAACCCAATACTGGGATTAATTTAATGTTAATTTAGACATTATGAGTATTTTTGTTTTTTTTGACGTTTGTTGATTGTCGATGCCATACAAATCGACATAACTATAGTCCATTTAATCTAAGAGGTACCCTTGGACAGTTCTGTCAGATTGAAGCATAGCGATAAGGTCAAAGAAATCGATTACTAAAATACCTGATTCTTAAGAGATTTCGATATAATTTCTTAGTATACACTAATCGATTACAGTTTTACAGATTTATATATGTTACTATAAAAGCCCGTGTAATGGTGCGTCATAGGTTTTACTAGTAAATCTTATTATACACTAGACTTGGACAGCAGCGATTCTTGACTACAAAAAATTATGCGTATTCGTTGACATTTGACAGACGAATTTAAAGTATTATTCGTCTGGAACGAAAACAACTCGTTGTTAATAAATTCAATTTTTATACATTTGAACGAAATTAAATCAATAATTAATATTAATTAATTAATTATCATTTCGTATTCAAGTGAATTTGAAGATCTGTAACACTACGGTAAAGGACCCAACTACGTGACTTTGAAATAAAGTTAAAAAAAAAGTATTGTGTATAAATTAGTTATTTTGCTTTGCTTCAAAGATTAAAATTGAAGTTTAGCCTTTAAAAATTGTATATCTTGCGACAAAATAAAAATAGCTACATAACCCCATGGTTACTGAAATTGTGTGAGTTACGCCTATACAAAGTTGTTTCGTCTTAAAAGGTATGAAACGTCAAACGGTACCTCTTAGATTAGATGGACTATAAAAATGATATGCATATCGTCTGATATTTTTTCAGTTCCTAAAAATACTTCCTATTATTGGTAAAAACAAAAATGTGTTGTAATGTACGGTAGTGTTTGGCACCGATATGTAAATTGTTTACATTGACCTCGGAGACATAAATATTATTTTAACAAAAGATTTTTAAAACAATATTTATTTCTCCTAAGCTTATTACTGTTTTTATTTTTGGATGTTATCATAAATAATTTATACAGAGAGTCAAAACCAAAGATGTTTATTACGTGGTGATACCTAATATACGTAGGATATTGGGCAAAAAATTTTATGAAATGAGAAATGGTTGGAACATGTAAAAAGTTTTTTTTTGGTTTTGTTTGTTTTTCACTTATGCGTTGGGGCATGGTCTGTTACTCTTGCATGAATGGGCTGTTATGTTGTGTGTATCGTTGTGACTGAAGTTATTATGATTTAAGTGAAAGGGTATGTATTTAGTCTTGTTAATATTCAGCGTTAGTTGATGTTGTTTTAGCCAGTTGGAAACTAGTCTGAACCCGTTTTGCGCTTATTGACAGACTTCCTCCCAAGTATTTCCAAAGAACAGAAGAGCTGTGTCATCTGCAAAGGTAATTATTCTTCCATTTTCTAAATTCAGTTGACAAAGATCATTAATGAAGATCAAAAAGAGGGTTGGTCCAAGGATACTTCCCTGCGGTACTCCGATGGTGACTTCATAGTCCTCACTTATCCAATCGTCCACTTTTACACACTGAACACGTTTGTGAAGATAGCTTTAAAGGAATTTAAGCTGTGTGTGGCGGATTCCTAGCTGTATGTGTATGTATTTGGTACGTATGAAAGTATGTATATTTATCGCATTATTTCTACCTAACATATCAATCATTTTCTTTTACTTCTTCTATTAATGTCTAGTGCACCTAGCCACACATTTCAGCACCACCCTAAGGTAGACTTGGAGAAAATGCCTATAGCATTAAGTCCGCCAATGTACAACTTGTGCATAAAGAATAAAATAAAAATAAATAAATATATTTTAAATGAGAGTTTTTGTAATACATCTTGTGTAACAAACATTTTAAAGTATCGTTTAAATATTGATAATTAAACCAAACATTTGTTGTAAACGTAACAAAACTTTTGTAATTCACTAAATAACAAGTTTTTCAAGAAAATGCGAACGAAAACAATATTTATACAAGAGAGATAAATCGGAAAGTCGGTTCATAAAAGTATTTAAGGAATCCTCGGTGCCCGACTCAAACCTGCATTTGTCCACTTTTTTATTATACAACCCCTATTCCAATTCACAATCATACGCCTCGGTGGCGCTGTAGGCAGAGCGTAAGTCTCATAATGTTAAGGTCGTGAGTTCAATCCTCACCTGGGGCAGGTTTAATTTTTTTAAATACAGATTAAAATCTTGTGGTGTCATTAAAACTAGATATATATGGGGTATGTTACATTCAGACAGTTGATCATTCATTTCCTATTTAAATAACCTTTATGAATAATAGATTGAAATTTCTGTTTACGGATTCTACTAAACATGTAAATGTTTTACCTAAATATCAAGTTTTAACTTTGTTTGTTTTTGTTTTAAGTTTTGTCTGTACTTGACACCGTGTACGTTATACCGTAGATCTGCT